TAAATTATTATTAAATAGTTTTAAGAATAGTATAATGTAAATTATGTATAAAGCTAATGGCCCATGTCGCCGAAGCTATAAAGATCAATAAAAAAAAAAAAAAATTATTATTAAATATAGCTTGCACAGCTGTCAGCTATTACAATTTTTCGACTAAAATGTTACGTTCACGCTGTTATTGCAAATTTCAATAGTTAACATACTTCTATGAGAAGTTAGTTAGTATCAAAGTATTTTTTTAGCAAAAATGATGGCGTGACTACACATACCTAAAACTTACTCAATTATTGAAATTCATACGTTTGGAACCACAATGTTGAACATAACATTATACATTACAGTAGTATTTGTTGACTTTACAAACCGCCTAAATGTAAAATGTTATCCTCGTTTCATTGCAATTTGGCTAGTTMTTTATACAGCAATAATTCGTTTAACAATATCAATGACCATGAAGCAATTATAATGTTTATATTATATTATATGATCATCGATAACTCGAACATCATTATAATATTACCTATACGTGATTATATAGGTATCAATTTAAATTTATATTAATATCGGTGTAGAAAATTTCAATCACAATTAATACAGGTTAATGACGAAAAAAAATCCTCAGAAATGGGAATAAGTTATAAGCTGCCTGTGAGTCTATAATAAATAGCTAGACAATAAAAAATGGAGTTCGATGTATAGGTAGGCGTCGTGTTAAAATGTAACGCAAATTATTAGGCACACAATCTGACCTAGAATTACAGAGTTTAAGCAAAGTATACCAATAATAATTTAATTTAAAACCAACAACAATATTAAAATAAATATTATCATAACTGCAGACCAATCATGGGTGATGCCATCACCGTGATGGATATGGGGAGATATCCAGTACGTTAACAAGCCTCTCGGAAGTAGCACAAGATTTTAGTCACTCTATGTCTCTATATACTACACTTATAGAAGAATAAACGATCTTAAAATTTTAGTTAATATCGATTAAACCTAAAATGTATAGATATATTATAAGTATAATAAATAATAAAATAATATATTTTAGGGAATCGTTAGGTAAATAGTTATTAAAATATAAGATTTTCAATCACTTACTACTGTAGTTCTGTACATCGAATACTCGGTCTGTCATTTAAAATTTTATAGGAGTYTTAGATTTGAACTTGTCGAATRTCACCGATRAAGATGAATACTATATGGTCYTCACACAATGCTGCAACAGTTGGCKGTAGCATTAAAATATGCACTGAACACAATTTATCGATACCTGGGCGACATTGCTAAGATGATACACATTACTGATGTTAAGACCATTATAGGATAAACGTTTATGACTTTATGAGTTAGTTTTATATTTCAATTTTGTACAACCATTGCATATAATATTTCGAACAAAATGTTTTAACTAAAAATGTCATACATTTATATTTTACGAGCCTTTAAATTTATTTTACCTACTACCTATGGATATGACATAATAATTTATTTTATTTTATTGATAAAAATCTAGGAACAAAATTATAACTGACTAATCAAAAAAAGTCCTAAATTATAATATTGTATTTTGCTATTGCAGACTGCTGTTATTAGTTATGGTACTTTTCAGGACTTAAAATAGTTGTA